TGCCTATAGTCCCGGCTACTTGAGAGGCTGAGGCAGTGAGGCAGGAGGATCACTTGAGCCTGGGAGTTCACTGCATTCCAGCCTGGTTGACACCGTGTCTCAAAAAAAAAGAACAAATGAAATCCTCTTGGTCTTGTTCTGGCCTTTCATTAATCGCTGGCCTCCTGCCCGGGTGATGTCTGCCCTTCTCACCTCCTCTTCCTTTCCACTGCCCTGGGAAGTTCCGGGAGCCCTGATGAAGGCTCCCAGGCGCTCTGCCCGGCCCTGCCCAGGACTCTTCTCTACAGATGCCCTCTGTGTCTGTCTTTCTGCCCTTCCTTTGACAGGGCAGGAAGCATGCGGGGCTGAGGCTGACCCCTACGGGTGACAATGCGTCCTCTTTTACAACTCAGTGTTTCAGAAAAACAGGATAGCAGTGGGCAGGGAGGTGAGAATGTGCTAGTTACCTCTAGCTAGGAAAGAGCCAGGTATTGGTGAGCCGGGACAGGCACCGCCAGGAGCAGACAGCAGCCAGGCTGGTGGTCAGTTCCTGCAGCTGCCCCACCCTGTCGCTCCCTTACTGGTTTCTGAGGGGCGGAGTGGGATGCCCAGCTCCCGGGGCTGCTGCTAAAAAACCACAGCAGGAGGAGGCGGCTCTGACAGGTGCGTTGCAGAAGCTTGGGGGCTCAGAGATGCCAAGGTGCACCAGTGACTCCACAGGACACAAGGTTCTGGGTTCCTCCTGTCACCTGGGCCTTCAGTGTCCCAGGCAACTGGCTCAAAAATGTGTTTTATTGTTTTTGAGGCAGGGTCTCACTCTTGCCCAGGCTGGAGTGTAGTGGTGCCATCTTGGCTCACTGCAACCTCCACCTCTGGGTAAAAGCTGTGTTTCCACCTCATGCCTCAGCCTCCCAAGTAACTGGAACCACAGGTGTGTGCCACCACATCTGGCTGATTTTTTTGTATTTTTAGTAGAGACGGGTTTCACCATTTTGGCCAGCCTGGTCTTGAATCCTGAAGTGCTGGGATTATAGGTATGAGCCACCGCGCTTGGCCTAATTTTGTATTTTTAGTAGAGATGGGGTTTCACCATGTTTCCCAGGCTGGTCTTGAACACTTGCCCTCAAGTGATCTGCCCGCTTCAGCCTCCCAAAGTGCTGGGATTACAGGCATGAGCCACTGCTCCCAGCCAATGCCCAGCTAATTTTTAAATTTTTCATAGAGACAGTGTCTCACTCTGTTGCCCAGGTTACTCTCAAATTCCTGGGCTCAAGCAGTCCTCCCGCCTTGACCTCCCAAAATGCTACAGTTTCAGGCATGAGCCACCACTCGTAGCCAAAAAAGCACATCTTCATTATGAGCTGTTTCATCTGTTTCTACAGATTCAGCTTTGATCTGGAAGGAATCCCCTCCTTCCTGTCATGAAAGACATTCCCCAGGAGAAAAGCCGAGGCCAGCTCAGGCTCACGTTTTCGTTCTCTTCCTGGGGCAGCTGGGCTGGGGACACGGCAGGCCCTCCCTGTGCTAGGAGGGGCTTGCATTCTGGAGGGGAGGGTGATGGTTAGCACTCAGCCGGAGGAACAGGAGTGAATGATGTCCTGGGATTGAGGATGAGACAAGCTGTGGGAAACAGACTAAAATAAAGAGTGGAACGTGAGGACAGGACTCTCTGTGAAATGCCTGTGCAATCATTTACTTATTTATTTATTCAATATTATTTATTTTTGAGCCGGAGTTTTGCCATTACCCAGGCGGGAGTGCAGTGGCATGATCTCGGCTCACTAAAACCTCCATCTCCCAGGTTCAAGCGATTCTCCTGCTTTAGCCTCCCAAGTAGCTGGGATGACAGGCATGCACCACCATGCCCAGCTAATTTTTGTATTTTTAGTGCAGATGGGGTTTCACCATGTTGGCCAGGCTGGTCTTGAACTCCTGACTTGAAGCAATTTGCCCGCTTTGGCCTCCCAAAGTGCTGGGATTCCAGGCATGAGCCTGGCACCTGGCCTCTGTGCAGTTTAAATAGGGCCGGCGGGCTCATCTGGAAGGTACTGCTTGAGCAAAGTCGTGAAGAGGGTAAGGGGGAGCCCGGGGAGGGATGGAGATGGGCATTCCAGAGCAAGGGAGCAGCCAGTGCAGAGCCCTGGGGCAGGGGTGCTGCGTATCTGGGGCTGCACGGTTGGCCCTGCTGCGGCATAAGGAGCGTGTGGATGGGGAGCACTGAAGAGCTCTGGGAGGACTCGCTGGAGCAGGCTTGGGCTTTCAGGCATCCCTGCTGCTTCTGTGCTGAGGACACACTGCCATGGGGAGTAGGACGGGGTGGCAGGGGCGGAGGAGGGAGCCCATCCAGAGAAGCGGTGGCATGGCCTGGACACGGAGGCAGTGGCAGGAGGTGGCAGAAGTACCCAGAGTCTGGATCTGTTTTGAAGTTAGAGGTCGGCACGGTGGTGGCTCATGCCTGTAATCCCAGCACTTCGAGAGCCTGAGGCAGCAGGATTACTTGACTTCAGGAGTTTGAGATCAGCCTGGGCAACATAGTGAGACCCCATATCTATTTTAAACAAAAAAACAAGGCTGCAGGACTTGCTGGGGATCAGATGTGGCCTATGGGACAAAGAAGGGGGTCAAAGCAGAGCCCCAAGGCTTTGGCCTGGGCAACCAGGAAGCTGTTGTTTCCATGAGCTGGGACCCGGAAGGGAGCACTGGCCTCAGGGGTCAAGATCCGCCTCCTCTCTTGGATACGAGCTGTTTCAGATAACTTTGAGACCTCCATGTGGGATGGGGACTGGGCAGGGGACCTGGCAGTCAGCGCTCAGGAGAAGGATCCGGGCTCCCCCGCACACCTCCCTTACCTCCTTGAGCTAGTTCATGTCCCTGGGAAGACTTGGGCAGCCTGGGTGGACGTGGCGGGAGAGTCCCCATCCACTCAAGTCTGCCCTCGCTGTCCCCACACAGCACACGGCGCTCTCTGAGTACCGGCCCATCCTCTCCGGGGAGCACCGACTGCCACGCCACTCCTCCGTGGCCGATAAGAAGCTGGTGCTCATCCCACTCATCTTCATCTGCCTCCGGGTCTGGAGCACCGTGCGGTTCGTGCTGACCCTCTGTGGCTCCCCCGCGGTGCGGACGCCGGTGCTGGTCGTCCTGCATGTAGGTCTGCCCTCCCTGGCCCTTGTTGTCATCCCCGCCCCCAGAGGAGGCACAGCCTGATTCCTTCCCGCAGCACAGTGGCTCACCCCAGTGCTGGCCAAGGCACAGCTGCAGGGAAGGAGGTCGGCCCCGCCACTGTGCCTTCCTCTCTGCCCGAGACAGGGCCTTGAAGAGGGAAGGCAGAGGGATCAGTGTGGTTCAGGGTGGTGAGGTGCTCGTCAGTGGCCTAGGAGTAGCCCCTGGTGAGTTGACTGATCCTGGGTCCTTCCCAGCCCAGAAGACCTGGGGCCCTGCTGAAGGCCCATGCCAAGGTCATCCCAGATCAGCTATGGGGTGGGGAGTATGGGGGAAGATTCCGGGGTAAACAGCACTTCCCAGCCACCCCATATGTGTGCATGTATGCGTGTGTGTGTGTGTGTGTCTGTGTGTGCGTGCGCGAGTGCGTTTCTCAGCCATTTCTCTCTCTCTCTTTTTTTTTTGAGACAGAGGCTGGCTCTGTCAACCAGGTTGAAGTGTGGTGGTGCTCACCGCAACTTCTGCCTCCCGGGTTCAAGCAATTCTCCTGCCTCAGCCTACCACGTAGCCGGGACTATAGGCGCCCACCACCACACCCCACTAATTTTTGTATTTTCAGCAGAGACAGGGTGTCACCATTTTGGCCAGGCTGGTCTTCAACTCCTGACCTCAAGTGATCCACCCGCGTCGGCCTCCCAGAGTGCGGGGATTATAGGCGTGAGCTACCGCCCTCAGCCTGGCCGTTTCTCTTAGTTGGAATAGCACGTGTGTTTCTGAGACCAACTCCAGCCCAGGCTCACAGCTCCCTTTTCTTCCCAACAGGGTATCGGGAACACGTTTCAGGGAGGTGCCAACTGCATCATGTTCGTCCTCTGCACCCGCGCCGTCCGAACCCGGCTCTTCTCTGTCTGTTGCTGCTGCCCTTCTCAGCCTCCCGCCGAAAGCCCAGCCGGCACTCCCAAGGCTCCTGCACCCTCCAAGCCACGAGAATCTCAGAAATCCCAGGGGACCCCAGGGGATCTTCCAAGCACCTAAGCTTTTGTCCTGCCTAGTTCCATGCATAGGTGCTGTCTTCCTGGGGACCAGCGCTTCTGTGAGTCCCTGCGGCAGGGGCAGGAGGGCGTGTCTGCTGCACTGGAAGACCCGCTATTGATGCTCTTGGCGCCATTGGAAGCGCAGCCGCCAACTCAGCTTCTTCTACCTCCTAGATCCTCAGGCAGCAAGTTCCACACGTCCCAGTGTCCTGGTGCACTGGAGCGGCCGTTCATCTGCATAAGGGTAGCAGTGATGAGATTCAGGAAAACCAGTGGTCCGCGATTGCGGCCACGGTGCCTCTACCTGGTGGACCTCAGTGTCCTGAGGACCACACAGCACTGTTTACAGTTTGAGGGACCCACACCCGTGCTGCTATCCTTCGTGCGATTATATAAGCTGTCAGGGGGCCCCCAGAGATGTGTCACCACACAGACATCACAGAGCAGATTCCTGGCTGGTCAGGGTGTTGGGCTTCTTTGGAGAGCCCGGCTGTCCTTGGAGAGTTTGCTCACCAGAGGAACCAGTTGCCTTTTACCAGGTGGAAGGTTCCCCTGAGGTTACATGGTGAACACGGCCCAGCACAGCTGCTCAGGGACAGCAGTGTTCCCCCCGCTTCTGGCCCCTCCCTCTGTGGACTGCTAACCCTTGCTGTAGCTTGGGTTTGAGTTTCAAGAACAGACCAGAATCCACACACCTGCCGCCATCTGTCAATCACTTCAGACACAGATTCCTCCTTCCAATTCCAGGGGTGGAACAAGGACAGGAAGAGGCATCTCAGGGAACCCCGAAGATCCCACTGTCTCTCCAGCTCCTTTCTTGTAATCCTCCTGTTCTTGCAGAGACCAAAGAGGGTGAGGGGGCCTGGCTTATTTACTTCTTAGTTTAGTTTTTTGTAGGTAAAGTGGCTGGAGAGATGAGTAATCCAAATATGATTCCTCAGGCCAAGCACAGTGGCTCACACCTGTAATCCCAGCACTTTGGGAAGCCGAGGTGGGTGGATCACCTGAGGTTGGGAGTTTGAGACCAGCCCGGCCAACCTGGTGAAACTGTGTCTCTACTAAATATAGAAAAATTAGCCAAGTGTGATGGTGAGCACCTGTAATCCCAGCTACTTGGGAGGCTGAGGCAGGAGAATCACTTGAACCTGGGAGGCGAAGGTTACAGTGACCCAAGACCATGCCATTGCACTCCAGCCTGGGCAACAAGAGCGAAACTCTCAAACAAACAAATACGATTCCTCCCTAAGGGTGAAGGTTTTAAGATTCAGCTTTTTTTTTTTTTTCTTTCTGAGAGGGAGCCTCACTCTGTCACCCAGAGCTGGTGTGGTGGTATGTGCCCGTGGTCCCCAGTACTCAGAAGGCTGAGGTGGGACGGTCCCTTGAGCCCAGGAGCTTGAGGTTCCAGTGAACTGTGATGGCACCATTGCTGTTCCAGCCTGGGCAGCAGCGGGACCCTGTCTCAAAAAAAAAAGGATTTAGCTATTTTGGTATTTGTGGCAACATGGATCACGAAGTGATTATTTTACATTTAAAAGAAAAGGATTTAAAGTAAGCATCCAGTATCTCTATTTTTATTCTGTGGCTCTTCCACAAACATTTTTCTCTTGTTTCAGAAAACAGTTTCTCTGTTCAATCACAGGAGCCATCAGCAAAGAGTGGGAAGTGGAAATCCTCGCGCCGGGGACTTGGTGAGAGGAAGCAGGGCTTTACCTGACAGGTGCTTTCCCTTGGAATCCATCAGAACTCGACGACGCGTGATTTTCTGAGCCTGGTAAAGTGGCTCTGGATCAAAACCAAAGCCATGCTGTGCTGCCAATCCCTGCTTTACTCTCAAAACCCAAGTCTGTATCTGGAAAGGAATAATCGTTTAACAGACTGAGTCCAAAATGCTCATTTTTGGTGTCCTGTCAAAATGGATTTCTTTTATTTATTTATTTTTTGAGATGGAGTCTCGCTCTCTTGCCCAAGCTGGAGCAGTGGTATGATCTCGACTCTCTGCAACCACAGCTTCCCAGGTTCAAGCGATTCTTCTGCCTCCCAATCCCGAGCAGGTGGGATTACAGGCACCCGCCACCACACCCAGGTAATTTTTTGTATTTTTAGTAGAGACTGGTTTTCACCATGTTGGCCAGGCTGGTCTCGAACTCCCAACCTCAGGTGATCCACCCACCTCAGTCTCCCAAACTTCTGGGATTGCAGGGATGAGCCACTGTGCCCGTCCAAGAAAACAGATTACTTGATGGAAATCAGCGAGACGTGAACACCCCCTTAGGCTTGAAAGAGAGCTCTGGGCTGCTCCAGGGAAAGCTGCTTGGCAAAAATAGCCTCTGTAAATGAATCCTGGATTTCCCTACAGACATGACAGCAAATCTCTGTGTGTGTCTCTGTGGAGACCCTCACTTGAGCTTCTAGAAGGGAACAAAAATTCAGGGATTTGCTTGCTGCAAAAGAGAACATGATTTACAGACAAAAGAGAAAGGACAATACTAGATCACACAGGATTAATGTCAGAATCAACCCTGCTCAGCAGAGGCCTCCGGAGCCCTCCCTGCTCTACCCAAGACCATGTGGCCAGGCTGAGATGTGGACTCCCGGATCAGCTGGCCGTGGTCAGGAAGGGCCTGTAGAGGGAGCTGAGGGCTCAGAAAACACCTGCTCTGAGTGCCCGAGCTCAGGTTCTCATTCCATTTCTTTGATGCCACTGGCTGCTCTGTCTGCTTTTGTAAAAACCTCCAAAAGGTTACACATTGGGTGTCTCCATTTCAGCTTCCTCTGCTGCCCACCTCTTGCCGCAGACGAATGGTCACTGTCAATGGTGGTGACCAGGTGGGTAGGGCAGGGGCTTGTCTGAGTGCCTTAGCCTAGGCCTCTGGCCCACTGACTCAAAAACAGCCCCCTCCTTAAGATCCTCCTTCTTAAGAACCTTCCTTAGATCCCTCCTGCTTCGATCCAGATAAACTTTCTTCCAAGCACCCGTGACTTGGGGCTGAACCAGTTGCCAAGTCAGTCCAGCTGGATGGATAGCACTCAGTGAGAAAGGCTGGATGGGAGGGAAGTCACATCCTAAAAGTCCAGGAGGGGGCTAGGTACAGTGGCTCACACCTGTAATCCCAGCACTTTGGGAGGCCAAGGTGGGCAGATCACCTGAGGTCAGGAATTCGAGACCAGTCTGCCCAATATGGTGAAATCCTGTTTCTACTAAAAATACCAAAAAATGGCCACACTTGGTGGCATGTGCCTGTAGTCCCAGCTACTCAAGAGGCTGAGGCAGGGGAATCATTTGAACCTAGGAGGCGGAAGTTGCAATGAGCCGAGATTGCACCACGATACTCCACCCCGGGTGACAGGGAGACTCCACCTCAAAAAATAAAACAAGTCCAGGAGGGGCTGTTATTTCTTATACTTCTTTTTTATTTTTTTTGAGGCAGGTTTTTGCTGTCTGGAGTGCTACCCCCAGGCTGGAGTACAGTGGCACAATCATGGCTCATTGCAGCCTCAACCTCCCAGGCTCAATCGATCCTCCCACCGCAGCCCCCTGAGTAGCTGGGACCACAGGCCTGGCTAAATGTTGATTTTTTGTAGAGACAAGATTTTGCCATGTTGCCCAGTCTGGTCTCGAACTCCTGGGCTCAAGCAAGGAGCTGTTACTTCTGATCAGAGCAAAAGGGGCCGTGCTCCTGGATGGTTCGCCCAGCCCCAGTGGGCTCCTTTCTCCTCTGTTAGTGTGGTTAATGTTCATCTGCCTCATCCCTGAGCCACCCAAGTGTAACCTCAGCCATGACAGGTACTGCAGCCGGAACAGTGTCCTCAGCTCGGCGTCCCTCTCCTGTGCTCTTTCTGAACTTTGGTCTTTTAACCAGGTTTACCAGCCGCTTTCTGCCTTTTTGTGCTTTTTGAGGGTTTTTTTTTTTTTTTTTGGTTCTTTTTTTTTTTTTTAATGAAGATTATTATTTGGCCCAGGCCGAGGGTGTAAACAGAATTCTTCATGTGTCCACAAGAAAAGCTGTTTTTACAAACTTCTATTCGTGGCATTGGAAGTGTGAGCTTTTGCACCTGCAGAATTGTAATGCAAGCCCTGACTGGGCAGAAGCTGAAGTCCTGCTGTTTTAAATTAAATAAATTATTTTTCTCCTACGTGTTTGGTAAACGGACGGCCTGCTGATATGTTGGGGTGGGGTGGGGGTTGCTGGGCAGGTGGCTCACATTGGCCTGTGTTGCTGCTGCTCCAGCACCTACTGTGAGGCTGAGACCTGGAGAAGACAGCTCTGCCCCTCTCTCTTGGCAAATGTAGTGAAAGAGGCAGCCGCCCTGTTGGCATAGCCAGCTTCCCCTGGGTTTGCCTAATAAAGATCATGGGGGTGGAGAGATAGGGAGAGGGTGTTAGAATACAGATTCCCGGGCTCAGTCCACAATGAGGGTCAACAGGTCCAAGTTCCAAGCACCCAAGACTTGGGGCTGAACTTGAATAAGAGAGGCTCCAGGGCTGAGCCGCCAACCCCTCACCCTTCATGCATGATTCTATCACGGCACATGGTGACCCGCTGCAACTACATCTGCAGGCTTCCGGGTGGTCGGGACTGCTGGGACACCAGGGCCTCTTCTTGGAAGGGAACAGCCTTCCAAACCCATCGATAGGAGCCACTGCCTTGCTTTGCGACCTGCAGGTCTACATGGGCCACGCAACCCCACCTTCCGGTCATATTTTTCTTTAAACTACTCCATCTTGGGAATTTTGCTGCCAGAAGCTCCTAAACTTTCTTCCACGTTCTGGATTTTGTGCAGTTGAAACTGCATTGAACAGCCCCTAGAAGTGGCATCTTGAATTTGGTTATTAAGGTAAAACAAACACGAACTTAAGTGATACTAAACTGGCTCAAACTTGATGCTATGTGCTTATCTGGGAGAAAATGGAAGAATCCCCTCCCAGCTGGGCGCGGTGACTCACTCCTGTAATCCCAGCACTTTGGGAGGCCGGGGCAGGTGGATCACGATGTCAGGAGTTCAAGACCAGCCCAGCCAAGATGGTGAAATCCCGTATCTACTAAAACTACAAAAATTAGCTGGGCACAGTGGCAGGTGCCTATAATCCTAGCTACTCAGGAGGCTGAGGCAGGAGAATGACTTGAACCTGAGGGGCAGAGGTTGCAGTGAGCTGAGATCGCGCTACTGCACTCCAGCCTGGGCGACCAAGTGAGACTCTTATCTCAAAAAAAAAAAAAAAGAAGTTCCCCCTCTTGTGACCCTGCACTCATTAACTGCCATGCACCTTTCCCTTTCCATCCGCCTCCCCTCAGTGACCTTTGTCACCTCTTCCCTGACCTCTTCTCCAGAGCTCTTCGCCTTCCTGACCCCAGCAAACGTGGCATGCATTCAGAATCCAGGCTCCACGTTCCATTCTGTTCCACACCGTTCCCTCTTGCCTGGCCTTCCTCTGCCCATATGCAGCCCACACCCTGCAGGGTCACCTCCTTCTGCTCCCATAGACTTCTAGGCAGGCCTTTGGGATATCACAGTCTCTGCAGAGACCATCAGTCCCAGGGACCACTCTACCAGACATTTCCCCCAGAGCCTGCCCGGCTCCTGGCACAGAGCCAGGCTGTATCAGAGAGTCAGCCCAGCATGCAGCTGATGCTTTGGCCTTGTTCATAGGAAAAGCTATAGCAGGGGAGGCTTTGGGGGAAGCGTGGACCACTTTCTGAAGGAAGCACATGAGTCTAGAAACAATCACCTACTGCAGGAGAGTCCAGAATCCAGGTTCCACCAGGAAAAGGATTTGCCAGATGTGGCGGGGTCAGGACGTTGTCACCAGCTAATAGCTGGCATTTCCTGAGCTCTTACCCTGTGCCAGGCCAGATATGAAGTTGCCTTCTGTGGGCAGGACCCTGGAACCTGCATGGGTCACAGGCCCATGGAGTTGGCCCTGCCTGTTGACAAGACAAAGCTGGTGCTTACTAGGGGAATGAAAGGCACTCCTACAGCAGGGCCCTAGTGTGACCGCCCAGAGGGTTC